GGCAGCTGCAGGGAGCCAAAGCAGCCATACCTGGAGAGGGGCAAGAAAAGGCTGTGTACTGGGACGTGAGGGGTAGGGTGTAATGATAAAGTGCAATAAAATGTGGGGAAAATCGTTTGAGACAAGAATTACGACGCAGAGTGGAGTGTGCTTGCCCCAGGTCTGGCACTGAGTGCTGGGTGTGGCAAAGGTCAGGTCTCAGGCAGCAGGGCCCACAGGTGGGCTCCAGGCCCTGTGCAGTACAGCGAGCATCACATCCCTCCCTCCGTGTCTGCGATTGCTTCAGCTCTCTTGGCCTGTCTCGTGGGCAAGGGAAGGCCATAGTTTGGAGATCAGAGACTGCCTGGTGTGTGCAGGAGGAGGGGAGCCATGGAGAGGCAGGTGGCACGGCAGTCAGGCTGCAGAAGTGACAGCCCCTGGCAAATGGGGTGGCCCAGGCTGGGCATGTGCTTCAGACACACGTGTCCAGGACATGGGGCTGTGAAAGATGAGGCTGTGAGATAGTGAGGAATTGATGATTGAGATACAGCTCCCTCTCATTTAAGAATAAGACAAATGTTTCAGTAACTGACTAATTCTAGCCATGAGATTTTTGAAGTGGGAATTAGAATGATTTTCACATTTCCTATTCTAAAATGCAGATGTGAAATTTGACTTTGAAGCTCTGGCCAGTTCATTCTCTAGCCTTTTATGCAAGTTTTCATATTTGGGGCTGATGATCTGGAGACAGATAAGAGGTGTAATGACATAACACAGTAACAATTGGTTTCCCTCTAGTAATTGTGATAAAGAGGTTGGGGGAATTGAATCACATGTGTATGCCGCCATCGCTCTCAATGCGACTTGGCAGACATGACGACCGGCATCCTACCCCGAGGACCACATTGCCAGAAAATTACAGGCTCCTTGTCCGACTTTGAAGACCTACTAAGCACCTTGATAGCGTCCAACGCATTTTGCCCCTCTGCTTTTATCACAACCCCGACTTTTCAACAGTCACCTCGTCGCCCATGCCCTCGCAGAGCAGGATGTGGGCATGCAAAGTCCCCTGCCTGCAGCACCCCACGCCCGCAGGCAGATCCGGTGGCAGCAGGGGCCCGGAGCGGGCAGGGCGGCGTCGAGCCGCGCCTCAACATCAAACGGGGCAGCGGCGGCGACACCTCGGGTCCGCGGGGGAAGAGGGCGAGGAGTGCGGGGCAGGGAGGGGAGGCCGGGGGCCGTGGGAGCGTCTCGCCGGGGTAGGCACGGCCCGTGGGGGTGGGTGCCGCCAGGGTCGTGTCCGGGCACGGCTGGGGAAGGTGAAGCCTGCAGGCAACAGGTGAGGCGGAGGCAGGGAACTCTGCCGGGCCCCGGCTTGCAGGAGGCAAGGGAGGGTGTGCGGGGGCCGGGGGCTCTGCCCGCGGGAAGGGAGCCGGCGGGAAGGAGGGTGCTCTGGCACCCGCATCAAAGGAACAGGGAGGGAAGAGGCGGCTGCCCGACATCAAAGCGCGGGGTGGTGACCGGGAGGGCAGCGGGGCACACGAGGGGAGCCCCGCGGCACCGCGGGTTAGGCAGGGAGAGCGGGAGGGCGCGCACGGGGAGCCCCAGCGTCTGCGGACCCGGGTGAGACGGGAAATCGCGGCGCTGGAGAGAGTGGGACAGCCGGGTCGCGGCTTGAGACGCCCGAGGAGGGCGGTGGAGCCCCGCCCATGTCCCCCGCCCGCCGGTGGGCCTCTGCCGCGGGCAGGCGGGCTGCAGGCGCGGGTCCCGAGGCTGGCGGCGGGGCTGTGGGCCCCTCGCCCCGCGGAGGGGAGAGCGGCCAGGCTTGTCCTACAGCGCCTTCTCCTGGAAGAGGCCGTGGAGACATAAGGGCTGGTGGCTGCGGCCGGGGCCTGCCGCGCCCCCGGCGGTCGCTGCACGGCCCGGCTCGGCGGCCCTGAGGGCGGGAGCCGCGGGCAGGTGGCCGCGTCCCGGTCCGTCGGGGCGTGCGCCCACACGCGGACAGATGCGGCGGAGCCGGGCCACGACGGCGGGGCCGGCCGGGCGGCTGAGATGACCCCCGGCGCCCTGCACTCCCACAGGCTCCAGCTCGGGTGGCTCCGGGCGTGGGGCACTGGGGAGGCACTGCGGGCTGCCTCCCCTTCTGGCCGCACCCTCCCCCGCGGGTGATGGGAGGCGAGCGCTGAGCTTGGGCAGAGCCTGCTGCCGCTGAATGCAGTTTTATTGCCTCTTGTCTCTCGCAGAGACCCTTCCTCCGCGCCCCGCCCGGCCTCCGCGACCTGCTGCAATGTTTATTGCGCCTCATCTTTTCCTTTCGCTTCCTGTTTTTTCCTCTCCCGCTCCAGCAGCATTGAGTGCCGCACTGCAGTAGAGCAGTAAATACCTTTAACAGCTGCCTGCCAACCGAGGGGTGAAATACCGTCTTTGTTCGGGTTTCTTTTTCTACCCCTAAGTGCACATAAAACACCCCGTAGGAATTATATTTTTTGGGGGGAACGAGAAAATGAATCGGCGGGATTTTCAGTTCTTAAGAACGCAAAACCAGCGTGCATATCTCCGCCTAGTCTTATCGATTTTCCCGGGTCCGCAGTTCACAACGCACCCCCCTCCTTGCACCAAAGCCCTGCCCGACTGGGGGAACAGAGGCTGCACTTCTCTTGCAGGCAACCTGCAGCAGCTAAGCGGGAGCCAACCTGACTTCCCGAATGGCAGCCGGTGCCAACGGTGCCCCGGCACTGTCAGGGACAGTGGGCTGCCGCTTCCTGCCAGCTGCTTTGTGGTGGTGTTTTTATACTGCCCGTGCGTCAGTAAAGGGTGCACTGGGGATCGGCTGTTTCCTTTCAACACACATACACAGAGAAAAAAAAAAAAAAAAAAAAAAAAAAAGAGTAAAATTCTGTCAAATACATCGGGAAACGAAGCAAGTGCGAGAAATTTGACTGTGAACCTTGTACTCCAAAAATTTCAGCACACCAACACATCTATACTCATACCATGTTTTATAGGTGCATAAATAGATATAAAAATACAGCCCTTATATGTGCCACATATATATAAGCATGCACATATAAATATATATATATATATGTGCCATATATATAAAGGCGTATTTATTTGCTATGAATACTTACAATTCCATAGGTATGTTTAAGAACATAAACAGACCTATGTGTACTTGAATGTTAATAATAAATAAATAAATACACATATACATACATCCGATAAGAAAAAGAATAAGAGCAAAAGCAAGCCAGGAAGGAAGCCATTTAGAAAAAAGCCGAATTCCCACATGAACCAGTGGAATCATAAATGCATGTGTGTATCCGCATGTGTCAGCAGATGGACCCGCAGACACACACATACATATTAGAATTCGTTAGAACATCCTGCTTTTGTTTTTTTTTTTTCTTTTTCCCCAGGCTACGAATAATTTCAAAACAGCTCAAGGACGAGATTTTCCGAAGTTTTTGGAGAGATTTATAGTCAAGTAGCTATAATTACTGTGTCACCTAGGAGGGATTCTGAGAGTGAAACCTAACGCAGCGCATATTTTCCACGTTACTCTTGAAGACTGTTGCTATGTTGAAAACGATTCGTCCCAAATAATCCCCAAGCCCTGCAGGAGCGCAGGGCGGCCGGCTAGTGCAAACAGGCGAAGCGTGGGGGACAGGGATCTTATCGCTTACTGCAGTGGGGCTCGGGCTCAGCAGGCTGAGGGGTGCTCGGGGGTGGAATAAAGAACAACTTCTTCTGTGGGTTCAAAATATGTACTCGGGGCATGACTGGCACCTTTCCACCCTCACTGTGTGTTGTGTAGCCAGGCGTTCTGCTTTACCGCTAGTTAACTGGCTGCTTTCGGGGTAAATGGCGAGTGGGTAAATTCCTGCAGTGCAACAGCACGGTGCACTGCAACCACCGAGCACCGCTGTGAACGCTAAATATCAACCGGCGGGTTCTCCGCCGTGCACTCACAGTTTGAAAATGAAGATGAAATGAGTAAAGCGTATATACGTTCACAACAACGTACTCCCAAAGAATATGTGTTCTACAGAGAGAAATAGATGTGTAGATACGATATATATGTATGTATATAGGTAATGTGAATATGGATGTACAAACATATATGGGTAACGCAGGAATAGTTAACTATTCTATCTCCTCAGCATATTTTAAAATAAACCCAAGGATTTGTTGTTGGGTTTATTTCCGAGAGCTTGTCCTCCATTTAGCCCCCGGTGATTTCCACGTGGGTAAGTAGCCGTACTGCGGGCGTGCGCTCCTGGCCGTGTCTCCGCGCAGCCGCCCCCGCGTTCCGGCTGCCGAGCCCGGCCCGTGCGCTGCCCACCGAGCAGCTCGGAGCCGCAGCCCTGGCTCCGCGCTGCAGCGGGACAAGGATGTGAGAAAAAGTCCCTGCGGGGCAGGCGAGGGCTCTCGGGACTGGCCCCGGGCACAGCCCCCGGCTCGACCGGCTCGGAGGAGCCGCCCCGCGCCCTCCGCCCCCGCGGGAGCACTGACCCTGATTCTCCTGCGAAAACACCTGTTAGGCTTTAAAGTTACTCGACTGCCCTTCCGCCGTGGGGGAAGCAAACTAGAGCATCACCACAGCACGCTTCAGGCTACCGGGGGAAAAACGTATCCCAAAAACAGAGGGCCTTATATCGGAAGGAACCCCACCGGCGGGCGAGGCACTGCCTGCGCGCACTGCGCCCCAGCCTTCCGCCCCTCACGGCGGAACACCGAGACATCGTGGCCCGCGGCGCGCTTTCCGTGAGACAGCGCGCGCAACAGCCGCTCTCACTCTGCGGCATGCCCACAACCGCTGTTAATAGTAATAACACCACCGATAATTACAATAGCAATAACAACAACAGCAATCGTAGCGGTAATAATAGTAATAGCAACACTAAAAGGAAGAATATGGGTTTTCGAGGGACAGGTGATGAAGAGGGACAGGAGGACAGGGGAGCCGGTGCCGTGCCGCACATCGCGGGGTACCGGCCCGAGGGGAACTGGGTGCTTACCGGTTCGCGGCATTGCCCGCCTGCGGAGAAGCCCGGGAGGGTCGCTGTAATCCATTTTGCACCAGCGTAGCAATCCGTGTGCCGGAGGAGATAGCGGCAGCGGGGGCATCGAAGGGTGGGAGAAGAACGAGGGGCTGCAGGCGGCGCGGCGGCGGGCGCGGGTCTCCGCGCATCCCTCCGTGGGCGCGGGAGAGCAGGAGGCGCTGGACCGGGGAAGTGTCAGTGCAGCGGCGGAGGGACATGCTGCGGGTTTGGGGGAGCGGGGCACAAACATGAGGGCGACTGCCATACACCTCAGCCTAGACAAAGGTTAGAAAAAGAGGGGCTGAGTCTCTCTGAAGGCAGAATGCAGGGGGAAATTCGCCAGGGAAATCAGGAAAAGGCCATGAAAGCGCTCGCTGCCTGCACATGACCAGCCGCAGCCAATGACGAGCCCAAATAGGTCATAAAAAGGTCTATTACCAAGTTGTAAATTTTCTTCAAACAAAAAGGAATTTACTGCAATTCCTTGCGGATTTTGCACATACTGCTTCCCAGCGCCATGTTTCTTTCGCCTGCGCGCTGCGCTTTTACTGAGGTTTCGGTCCCGCCTGCCCCCGGCCTGCGCGCCACGGGCGCGGTGGCGGAGCCCCGCAAGCACGGCCGGGACGCGGGAGATCCGCGCGGGCCGCGGAGAGAGGGGCAAGCGGTCGCGGAACGGCATAAAGAGGGCCAGGGCACTGTGCCGAAGGATCCGTTTCTTGCCAAACGAAAGGGGGCTTAACCCGCATCCCCACCCTCTTCTCCCACCCCTCCCCAGGGCACTAAAAGAAACCACATCTGCTTTAGCGCCCACTACTGAAGCGGAAGCCGTCACCGACATAAAAATGGTCCGAGCCTCTTCCCCACACCGCAGTGTGCGGTTCCCGCAGGTTGCACCGGGCACTGTCACCGCGCCCGGTAAAACCTTCCCGGGGCACCAACAGGGAAAATCCGATTCCTTAGGAAGTATTCTAAAAAAAATTTTAATGGGCCTGTGTCCGCAAGGAATACTCGGCTCGGAGATGGAGTACTGTGGATGTTTCTTGCTCAAGTTTTGTTTCAGGGAATAGCCAGAGCCCTCAGTCCGTGACCTCCGTGCCGGTTGTAACTGCTAACAAAAGTAAACACGCCTAAAGGTGTAGGATCGAGGTTGGATCTTTTTAACACGCTGCTTCAGGCAGTTGCACACCTTTGAATATTGCCTCGGCGGAGGCTATGGCAACTCTCGTGGTGTGTCTGCAGCACGCATGGCCGCGCTGAGCTGCTCCTCAAGAGAACGGAGAAATTCCGCGGAAACCAAAGGCGCGGTGCATCCACTCCGCGGCCGTCTCAGGCGGCCTCTCGCCGCCGCTCCCGCCTCAACCCGCGCAGCTACGGCTTTTCCTTGCCAAAAGTCCGATGGCTCCAGTTTTAGAGGGGACTCGGTAGCCGTCTGGGTCAATTTCTGACTCCGTTATCTTTTTTCTTAGCAAGTTTCCAAGTGAGACGGAGGGAGACATCCAGATGCCAGGCTACGGGGGTAAATGCCTTAACTACAGCGATGTTTTGTTATTCTTAATGAGTAAGACAGGGGCGATTCCAGTTACCACTAGGCCTTCGCCAATTACGCGGGCTCAGGGAAGTCAGTTTTTGCCTGCATGGCTGCGTTCCCAGTCAGTCCTAGGAGAGCAACGCAACGGAAACTTCTTCAGGAATATTTTAATTTTATTCTTTGTCTGATAATTAAAAACAACTATCGCAGCAGCTCTTTTCCGGACAAACACCAGCCTAAGGAGTTCTCCGCTGGTGTGTGAAGGTCCTCGACGTGCCTTTGCCTCGCGGGCAGCCCGGGATGGCGGCGGGCGGCACCAGTACGGCTTTCCCGCATCAGGGCCGCCGGAACCGTGTTGAGTCCAGCCTCCGCCGCCGGCGCAGCAAAAGCGAGAGGCTTTTCCTGCCCGGAGACCAAATATGTCGGTGCCACTAGCACGAGTATTGTTTTGAAAAGCCAAGGGGTTTTGCGCGTCAGGCCACCGGGCTACTTTAAACGAGCAGCTACCAGCCCCACATCCTCCCTCGACACTACGGATACCGGTGTATTTATGCAAATCCACGCAGCAGAAATGTTTATTTCACTGCTTCGTTGCAGCTTCCCCTTGTTTACAACCTTTAGCCAGTTAGGCTATTAAAATAAAACCAAGAACAATAGCTCCTCTTGCTCGTGCCTCCCTCCAGAGCTAGCGCTTTGCAGCAGTGGAAACGTGCCTGCCTCGGTGGTGGGGAGCGGGAAAGAGGAAGGGAAACTAAATGAACCAAACCCTCCCTACAAGTTCCATCCCCGTGGACGGCGGCTCTCTCCGCGCCGGGTGCATTCCCGGGAGGGAAGCGGTGGGTGCGAGAGAAGGGCCCAGCGGCGGGCGGCACCGCCTCGGGAACCTGGCTGTGATTTTCCGAGCAAGGCCTCGGCTCAGCCCCGGCCTCGTCGGGATCACGCTCGTTTCTGGGCAGAAAATAGGATTATATATCGTGTTTGTCGCAGTTTGTGGCGCGTCCATTCGATTTCCTTCACGGAGCCATTACTGAGGGGAGCGTCAGCCGGTAGGGAAAAAAATGATACAAAAATCTTGGTAGAGATTTATACCTCATCCCTCGACCCTCTGCCTGCTACTCCTAAAAAGGATTGCTCTCGGCCGTCCTGTTTGATACCGCGCTCTGCGGGACCCTGCCGGGAACGGGAGCAAGAGCAGGGAGGGGAGAGAGAAATTAAATTGTTTTGCTAATCAGAGCGGACCTTTCCTCCCGTGGTTGCGTGAACCGTGAGGCAGGCTCTGTCCTCACCAGCTGCGGCCTCTGCTGGGAAACGCATCATATGATAATATTTAGGGGTAGAAACATATTTCCTTCGGTCTACACATGGTTGGGGACTCCTAAGAATTACAGCCCTCGAGAAACCCCCACGCAAGGTCGCAAAAGCTTTGTATTTCTCTGCTTGCCAGCCACCCTCGGGGGAAGCTGGGCCCGTTTTGGCCGTGGTTTGCGAGGCGCTTGGAGCAGCCCTTGGAGATGGCGAGGGGCCGGAATGCTCTCCGGGCTCTCTCCCTCCAGCCGGGCTGGCAGCAAATGGCTCCGTAGGCTAAGGGCCGTGTTTGCCGGGCTGGGGGCAGCAAAAGGCGAAAGCAAGGCCCAGGCACACCCCGGGGCTCCGCTCGCAGGTGAGGCCGCAGTCCCCGCTGGCCGCTGCTTGGACTACGGCTCCGCAGCGCTAGGGGCAGGCAGCAAAAAGCAGGTTTTGTACGCAACGTGCCATTCCCAGACCCCGCATAAACACCCGGCATCGAAGGAGAGACGGGGCAGGGCGCAGGGGAGATCCTGAGGGTTTCTTACAAAAAGAATATAGAGATGCCGATACATTTTATAATTGAATAAATTCGGTTTATTTTAATCAAATATTATAGAAGAGGGTTAAATATATTCCTATGATATTTTCTTCAAGATTATTAAATTTATTTAATTTATTCAACATAAGATAAGAATAAGAATTAAAATAGTACAAGTGCACTTGTCTTGATTAATAAAGAATTGTTAAATGTCTTACTTATTGATATTTATTATTAGGAAGTTTATGTCGTTTCCCACAATCACCGTCTTTTAAGATTGCAAATATATATATATATATATATATGTATATCATTAGAAATTTATTGCTAGAAACTCTGTATCAAATTTGAAAAAAATAAGTAGATGAAATGTTAAATCTAGAGATCGTTCCGAATACGCTAATAAACAAAATAAAAGCACAAACAAGTGAAGCATCCAAAGCAGGGAAATGTCAGACGGAGGGACATGGGGTCACTCGTCCCACGACAAGATCACGTAGAGGTGTGGATGAGCCGAGATGTCGGGTTTAGCCCTGGTTATTTTTGATTGACTTTCACAAAGACAATTGGGGCAAAAATTAATTCGTCTGGCCTTCAGCTCTGTCTTCTTCCAGATCATGTGCTTCCTTTTTGGCCTCCCCTTCCTTTCCCTCCTGTCTGGAAGCGGGGAATTTGTCCTTGTTGTTCTCTTTTTTCCATTTCATCCTCCTGTTCTGAAACCAGATCTTTACCTGCCTCTCGGTGAGTCCTAGTGCGTGGGACACCTCGATCCTTCTCTTCCTGGTCAGATAGGGGTTAAATAGGAACTCCTTTTCCAGCTCTAGAGTCTGGAATCGGCTGTATGTTTGTCTTCCTCTCCTCCTACCCGGCGCTGCTGTTTAAAACAAAAACATAGGGGTTTGGAGGTTGGTGTGGCCGTTCAAAACAAGGCGCAGGCAGGCAGCGAGGACTCCCTGTCCCTCCGGAATCCCTCGAGAGAAGACCCACAAACCCGCAGGGAGAGAAAGCAGAGGGCACAGAGTCTAGAGCTTGACACTTGAGTGAGAGGAACACAGCGACAGTAAATGCACGAAGCCCCTCAGCTGTCCCCTGCATAGGATGTTGCGGGGTCACTTTATCATCTCGTACACCACCCCCTGCCCGACCCTGCACCCTTCCCGTTCAGGCAGCGGCGACGGGAGACAGGCGAGCGTGTCAGCTGTGCCTCAGAGTCCGAGAGGCGTCTCAAAGGCTACTCCTGGGTTGGTAGCTGCCTGCTGCAGAGGTTTCTGCTTGCTCACTGCATCTCTTTATTATCGCAAGCCACCGCGGTGTAGGAATCACGGTGAGAGAGGTAGGGAGTGGGGGAGACAGAGGCAGGGAGCGAGAGTCAGCGAGAAAGAAGCAGGAGGAGGAAAAGAAAGTTTCAAACTCAGACGTGAGATGGAAGCAAATTTTTGACTGCGTCCAACCTTGTGGTCTCATCCAGGGAAACATTTGAGCAGGAGACGAGCTCTGATTTAAGTGGTCTGGTTCCTCGCCAATATTAGCACTGGACGATTTACAGTCAGGATATTGTACCAGCTCGGCCTCTTGCTGTGTCGTAAAAATCTGCTGTCTCTGTAAGTTATCGTATCCGTAAAATTTAGCGGGCTCCCCGTGACAGGTAACCCCGCTGCAGGGGGCAGGAGGCGGAGGCGCGGCGGGGGGAGGAGGAGGCGGCTGGTAGGCGGCCGTGGGGCTCCCCCCGGCCGGGTGGTAAAAGTCCGCGGCCGCGCCGCCGCCGCCCCCCGCCCCGCCGGGCGCGGGGTGCGGGAAGCCGGCGGCGGCCGCGCCGTTCCCGTAGAGCAGAGCGGCGGCGGCAGCGGCGGGGGCGGCAGCGGCGTGTCGGCCGCTCACCTCGGGTGCGAAGTGACAGTCGTAGTACGGGGAATTGATGGCTTCCCCCGCCGCCGCGGCCGCCGCCACCTTGTACTTGGAGTACAGCGGGTTGACAAAGTAGGAGCTCATCGGGGAGGGGGCAGCGGCGGGCGGGGGCACGGGGCGCTGCTCACGCCGCCGCCGCCGCCGCCGCCGCCGCCGGTGCCTCTACGCCGCGCTCATGTCGCCGCCGCCGCTGGCCCGTGCGCTCCCCGCTCCTGCTCTCCGTGTATGTGGTGACCAGGACTGGATTATAATCGCTCCCAAAATGACCTGCCTCACTGCTTTTACTATTTCCTATTAGGCACACAGCAGCCCGCGCACGCACACACACACACACACACGCTCATGAGCTCAGGGGGGACTTTTGGCTTCAGTTTACATGTGCCGCTCCTCGGGCAAGAAAAAAACTCGGCCCAGCCCTGCCCGGATCCACCCCGGCCGCGGCACCCCCGCTCCCCCCTCCGGTGTGCGCTCGCTAGGAGCCGCTGAAACCCCCGCCGCGCAGGGGCGAGGCTGCCGCGCAGATCCCGCGCGATAACCGCGGGCGCGCTGCCCGGGGCGACGCCGCCCGGCTCACCCGGGCTGTACCGCCCGGAGCGCGGCCTGCACCGCCAGCCGGCAAGGGCAGAGCCCCTCAGAGGGAGCCTATGCCCACCGCAGGGTCTTGGGGTGTAGGCGAAGGCAGTGGGGTGCCCGTAGGGCGGCAGCGTGCAGCGCCAGGTCCCCCTTGCCAACGGGCCCTCCGGGTCATTTTCTTCCAGGCGAGCAGATCGCTGGGAAATGAGATGCACATTTACCCTTGAAGCCTTGCACGCATGGCTGAGGCTCCAGGTTAATTGATACTTAATGGAAATCATGCCTATGAATATACTTTCCATCATTTCACCCTTGGTGGACGTCATTACCGAGGCAAAGAGGGGGGGGGGGGGGGGGAATAAAAATGTGTGGGTGAACGGTTAGCACCGCTCGGGGACTCGGTCCGAAATAAGTGAGCCCTGTTCTCCGGGAGGAAGGAAGGAAGAAAAGCGCTGCCCAGCAGGCTCGGCGCTGCCCCCGCTCGGGCCGGCCACCCCCGCTGGCCCCCGTGCCCCAAGAAGCGTCGTCTCCAGTCCTCTCTTTCCCGCTTCGTCCTGCAGTGGGAATCAGATTTTTGGAGAGACGCCCTCAGGAGCTCGAGTCCGCCCTATTTTGGAGAGAGACGAAAAACGTAGGTGAAATATAATACAGGCCCAGCCAGAGCCACGTGTGACCGTCTGATGTGAATTGACAAAAAAATCCTTGTGGTTACATAAAAGGCATCTCAGACTCCTTCCCCATCACACCCCGTTCTTCCACCACCCCCACGCTTCCAGGCCGATTAACTGGCTTTGTCTGGCTGACCAGCCCGGCTGCCCGGCATGCGAACACCCCGGCGGGCCCTGTGCCCGCAATGACACCCTCGCCTGGGCAGGGGCTCCGCGGGCCGGGGCGCACGCCTTTAGGAACTCGCGAAGGCGTAGGGACCCCCGTGCAGCCCAAGGAAAGGCGGGGCAGGCGGGAAAGGCCCGGGCACACGCACACGGACAGACAGCAGCAAGATCCCTTCGCCCGAGAGCAGCAGGAAGGCAGGAGGCCGGGCCTGGCAGGGTGAGCGGCAGCACAGAGACACTGCCTCGCCCTGCGGAGGGGCACAGAGGGGCAGCGGTCGCTTCCCGCATCCGCGCCAGACACCGCCGCCCCTCCCTGTGCCTGCCGGCGGGCCGCCCACCCCGCCGGGGCCGCGCCGATCCCGCCGGGGCCGCGGCGGAACCGCGGGCGCGCGGAGCGGGGCGCGCCGGCCGCGCAAGGGTGGAGCGCGGGCGCCCTCTGGCGGTGCGCTGCGGCAGCGGCAGGCAGCGTACCGCTCCGCGCTGCTCCCGCTCCGCGCGCACGTTTCGGTGACCCTCTTTTATTTTTTTGCCAGAGCTATAATTAACTGCATACAAAGAATGTGCCTCGTTTACACATGGCAGCCAGGAAAGACGCCTGAGCTTTGAAGACGACTGCTATCGCGTTTTCGATCATGTTTCCCCACATATTACACCATGAAATCTCCATGTGTGGTAGTTTCAGAGTTATACGTTTTTGTATTGAAGATGTTATTTTGTTTGCCCGCGCTTTTATGTATTTATGGATTGATTTATGTAAACAAAAGTACAGATGAATCTTTGTTCACCCTCTCCTTCATCACACACCTTCGGCCCCGCCGCCGGCTCGCCATAAACCCCCACTGCGTTACGCCGTGCTGACCGACTGTTCCCTTGCTTTCTGGTTTTCCGTTGGGTTTCTTCATTTTTCTTTCTTTTTTCCTTTTTTTTTTTTTTTTTTTTTTCAGTATAAAGAAGGAAATTCTGTATAATGCCTGTGCACGAGACTGTGCATATGTGGAAACATATATTAACACAACCAACGGGTAGGAATTAAATTATTCTGTTTGACACTAAAAGTAATTTCCATAGATGAACTGCATTTCGTTGATAGAGATGTTTGGTTTTCTTTCTGCCATTTTGAAATAAACGCACGCAATATTAAAAACAGGTAAACAAAAGGAAAAAATATACGAGGTAAAGTGTGTCAATCTGCCTGATGTAAAATATTAAGAAGATGGTGTGGGCTTGGTGAAAATTTCTTAACAGAGCCTCTGCTGGGATCAACACAATGCAGTTTTGTGTACAAGGATATTGTTTATGTGTTGTTACAGATCACACCCCCCCACCCCCCACCCCCACCCTCCCGCCATGGGTATTTGCGAAAATATTGAGGCTGGCATCATAGGATTCATTGCAGAAGAATATCCAATAAAATACATTTCAACAAATAAGTGGACTTCGTAAAATCTCTGTTTCGTGACCTTCAGGTCCTTTTTGAGTCTGTTGCCTTGGCCCAATGCTGACATACTGAAATTTATGGTCCAAGGTTTTAAGACCTAGTTTGTCTGCATTTTTTTGCCTTTTTTTCCCCCCTAACAAACACAAACATCAAAATAAGGTGCTTTCAAAGAAAAGTGCCATAGCATATCGTAAACTCATTAGGTCCAGACGTCTAGCCATCTCAATGGTTTTATTATACCACGGTTCTTCCTGTTTTAAAAGAATTATAGGTATCTTCTCGACAATGGATGGGAAGCAATGCAACACCTTTTCCTGGCGGTGCATGCTTTTTCTTTTTTTTTTTTTTTTTTTTTTTTTTTTTTTTTTTTTTTATTCACAGAGGTAAAAATCATTAAACACCAGGTCTCTCAGCTCTCCCCTTAATCTTGAATTAACCGAACTGCTCGTAAATATTTACGGGTCCTTCATTTTAATGGTTGCTCTTTAAACAAAGCATTTTTTACAATGAACTTCATCTCAATTATCTTGATAAAGTCATGTGTGTTTATAAATGCAGAAGGCATGAGGCGCGTTGCTAAATGAGCTCTCGCCAACAAAGCCGAACCTTTGGCAGCAGCCGTGTCCCCTCCAGAGCTTCCAGCCTCCCAGTTAAAGAAAGCAGAGGTTAGAAGAGACCCAGCAGGAAAAATAAAATAGGAATAAACCCCATGTTTAACCCAATAGGCATCATTGTGTTTCCTTGGCTCCCGAGGGCTGGTGTGGAAGTATTTCCTCACCGACCCCAAGGGATCGCTGGTGTTTGTAAGAGCGCGGGTACCTGAGGCCCGGCACGGCACGGCACGGCACGGAGCACCTACCCGGCCTCTGCGCGCTGACCTCCGGCAGCAAAGGCGGCTCAGGGAGAGGGGGAAGGTGCCGGAGGTGCTGCTGGCGGGCAGCTCGGCCGGCCTTTCCCGGGGGCTGCGCGGGGCTGCGCGGCAGGGCCGGCGGCGAGGGCGCATCGCGAGGGGCGCACAGATTTCTCCTCTCACCGCAGCGCTGTCGTTCGGTCACGGCAGACTTTATTGTGTAATAAGTGACAACAATTACAACAGGTCCGCGGTCCGAGACACGGAGCGGTTAATGAGCGCAGGAGTCACCGCGGGCAGGGCCGGCGGCCAGCCGGGGCACCGGCGGCGTTAGGCCTGTGGCGAGCGGCTCCAAGCGTGAGACAGCCTCCTAACAGTGCACTAAAGGGGGGGGAAAGCAGCTCGTGGCCTCTCTGTGGCATCTATTGCGAAGGATTCAGACCTAGAAAGCAGAAGTTTGGGGAAAGATTTCCTCTTAGTAGGTCGTGGGACAGCACAGCAACCCCCGCTGATTTAAGCGGCTGTAATTTAATATGTATTTTATTACCGTAATTATAATTAATTTCCTTACCTTTATTTTGGCAAAATAACTATCTAGTCTACATCACTTTTAAGAAACATGTCAAACATTTAACATCAGATAGAGTTCCCAAAGCTAACGTGCACTCACAATATTGTCATCTAAATGGTCTGGGAAGGAGGAGGGGAGTATCAAGAGACTGAAAAACACGTTGTGGAGCAAGACAAAATTTCCGGAAATACCTGACACAGACCACGTTTCACTTCTACCAAGGAAAAAAAAAAAAAAAAAAAAAAAAGGGGGGGTCCCTGGGGTGGAGTGGCACAGGAGGAGGAGGAACGTGTTGGGGGCTAAGGGTGCAGAGAAAAACTAAAACCAAACTAAAAAAAAAAAAAAAAAAAAAAAAAAAGACAAACCAAACCACAACCAAATCCCCCCCCCAAAAAAAAAAAAAAAACAACAAAAACACGCAACCAAACAAAACAAGCAGCCACAATCCCCCCCCAAAAAAAACAAACCAAAAAACCTCAACAAACAAAACCCCACACTCCCCCGATAAAAATCCAAACTCAAAACTAAATCAATAGTCTCCAACTACGTTTCCACCCCAGCGTTAGTCTCCTTTATTGCCTTTCTCCTTGTTCATCTTTTTCATTTTCATTCTTCTGTTCTGAAACCAGATTTTGACCTGTCTCTCTGTGAGGTTTAAAATCCTAGCTACTTCGTAACGGCGGTCTCGGGTGAGGTACATGTTAAAGAGAAATTCCTTTTCCAGTTCCAGAGTTTGGTACTTTGTGTAGGGACAACGCTTTTTCCTCGTTGAACGAGCGTGGATCCAGTTTGCTGCAGGGTTATCTGGAAGAAGGGAGGTATATAGGGAACGGGGAGGGGGGGGGGGGGGGGGGGGAGAGAAAGGTCGTTAAATTAATTTAACGAAGGATGGACTGTTTTCACAACTTTGGAGGAATTATCATAAAAGCCTTAATGCCCCAGTCTGTTTACTGTACAAATGATGTCTTGATGGTAGGTGGTTATGTGGAGTCTTTTATGGGTGCTTGTTGCTGCTTGCGCTGGGGTAGGCGTCTAGACGTTTTTATAGGTTAGTAAAACTATCAGTTTTGCACATTCGAGCCTTACAGGTTTCAGCAATAAATCAAAGGAGCAATTTCTTTCTTTCTTTCTCTCTCTCTCGCTTTCTTCCTTCCTTCCTTGCTTCCTTTCTTACTTTTCTTCCTTCCTTTTCTCCTCCTCTCTTTTTTCTTTCTTTTTCTCCCTCTCTCTCTCTCTCTCTGCCGCTATTCCTCTCTATCTCCCCCACTCCCCATTTTGTTTTGATTGTCTTTTCCTTTATTTTCTTTTTCTTGTCTGTCTTTCTTTCTTACTTTTCTTTTCTTTTTGGTTTTTTTACTTACTCGGGTCAAGTTGCTGCTGCTTCTCCTCTTTCAGATCGCTGCTCGGGCTGGGGTTGTGGCTGCAGGCGGCGGGGTCCTTGGAGCTGCCGGCAGGCGCTTTCTCCCGGGACTCCTGGAGGAAGGAGCTGCACGTGTACTCGGGCACACCGATCCCCTGGGACTCCCGAGACGAGGAGCATTCAGTCCTTTTGGAGGAGGAGGAAGAGGAGGACGAAGACGAGGAGGTGGCTGCTCCCGTCTCCGGCTTTATCCCGTAGTGGCGCCCGTTGGAGGAGCCGGAGCTGGACGCGGAGCCGCCGCTGCCGCTGCCTCCGCTGCCGCCGCCGCCTCCGCCGCCGCCGCCCGGGAAGCCCGGGAAGGGCTCAATCCAGGAGCGCACGTAGCGGCCAGCGTCGGCTGCCCCTAAGTGGGGCTGATGCATGTAGGGGTGGTAGATCCCGGTCATTGCCGCAGACGGCTGATGGTGAACAGTGGACCAGGAGGTGGAAAACACGGTGGATTTTGGTGCAAAGCTACAAGAGGAAAAATCTGAACTCTCTGCAACACCTGATGGCCTGGAGGTCGCACTGTGACCTCCCTGGACGAATCTACTCCCATAAACTTCTTCGCTTTCATGGCCTATGAGAGAATCGACATAATAGTTACTTATGGTGCCACTAGACGACATTTTAGGCTCCCCTCTTAGTCATATAAAAGGTTACACTGTTAACTGTATATGATACCCTCCCGGAGAACAATCGTAGTATTTTGCAGACTGCAACCCTCAACCATTGGTTGTGGAGCCCACGTGATCATATTTACCAATACTGCGAGTAAATCAATCCGCTAAACTGGGGCTGCTGTGATTAAAAAAAAAATCATCATCAACAAGGGCCCCGCACGGCGCTCCGCGCCGCCTGCGCCCCCGCACCGCGCGGGGCCACCCGCCCGCCGCCTTCCTGCCCTGCCCTGCCCTGCCTTGCCCTGCCCTGCCTCCCCGCTTGCCCGCCTGCCTGCCCTGCCGGCCCGGGCGCGGCGGGTGTGGCCGCGCTGGCTGCCCACGGCCCCGGCGGGTGCGGACTATTTCTTCACCTTCGTTGAGCGATTTCTGCCATTCATTTCTTAATCAATGAGAGGCAGGGTGTTTAAATAAATCCAACAGCCTTGGCTTGCTAATCACACTCCAAGCTGCTGAGGGAACCCGCTGGGAAAGGGGGATTCTTGCCTGTAAAAACAAACCATCGCAAGCTGGGACTGTAACGACTTCTCATAAAACAGGAAAATGTTACAGTAAAAGCACATTGCGGTACTTCCATATTTCAGAGCATGTGCGGGTATTATTATCCGCTCCCCCCACCCCCGGACTGAAAGTTTCCCTGGAAAGGATACACTTTTAAAAAGAGATGCCCATTGTGTTGTTTTAAAACAGGTGGAAGACCTCTGTAATGATTTTATGCCTTTCAATAAAAATTTTATGAGGTGTATTTGATTATAGATTAATGTGTCCCTAATAAAATGGACGGATGGAAACAGCAAAGCCTGTGTCTCCGAGCACAACTGACGTGTGGCTGAACACACGCTCCTCTATCTGCGGAACTTTGGGGCTACACAGCCTTAACACAGCCCCCCTTTTAAGGTGTCCGGTGCGGCCCGGGAGGGACGCGGGCGAAGACAGCCCGGAGGAGGCGGCCTGGCCCCGCAGCTGCCGGCGGGCAGGCTCCGGCCCGCGGAGGCGCGGGGCTGTCGCTGACCCCAGCTCGCCGGCAGAGCTGTCTCCTCCGCCCCTAGTTCAGGGGGAGCCACGTTCAATGCCTACGTGAGATTTTTTTTTTTTGCCCACTTTGCTTTCTTTCCCGTCCTTTCCCTCCCCACCCTTCCCTCCCGGCCTGGTTTTCCTTGCCCGAGCGAAACGACGCCCCATTAGTACTGAAAAGTGGATTACCCATGGTCTTCTGCCCACGCCTGCTTCCCCGGGCGAGGGACGGTGGCTGTGTCGGGATCTGGAGGAAACGCAGAGAGTTAGTGGCGAGCCCGCAGCACAGCCCGCCGGGGCACGGACAGCAGCGCTGGGAAAACACTTCCTACTCGCGGGCCGTTATGAGGAAGGGACTGAAATTCCTGTTTATTTAATGATTTATTGCTCTCCTAGGTTGTTTTCTTCCTTTTTCCCCCTTATTTTTTCTTTTTAAATTTTTTCCTTTTCCTTTAGTCTTTTTTTTTTTTTTTTTTTTTTTGTCATTTGACTTTAGCATTTTCTTCTGCGATTTTATAATTTCTATTACATTGTTTTATAGAAGCAGGGTTTGTGGTATGGCGAAGAATTGCCCCTTGCTTTAAACAGATACATATTGGTAAAGCAGGCAGATTAGAGTGAGCCTCCTTTTTATATACGTTAAACCCTTGGTATGGAGCCAGCTATTTACTTCCCACTGCCGAAACTTCTTTGGTGGTGTAGCGCGTACCTTTAAAGGAAAAGAAAAGGCCGTGCGAATGTATGCAGTATTTAAGGGGTTGTTTTGTTGGTTTGGGATTATTTGGGTTTTTTTGTTTGGGGTTATTGGGGTTTTTTGAGCATCGTTTTGATGTTTGTTTTCGAAAAGGGAAGAAACACAAAGTACCTAGGTGCTTGCGGCTCTCACAGCTCCAAAATGATGATGCCTTGGTTTGAGGAATATATAGCCTCTTCCCTATGAGTGAATGTGCACATGAGGAAGTACTGGCTTAAATTAAATATCAGCGACGAAAGAGCAAACAGAATGCCACCAACAGCATTATGAGCTGTGTCTGTCACCAAGTCGCACAATATTGGCACTATCTTGAGCTCAATTTCTTGATTTAGAAAGAGCTTAGGGGAGATATGGGCGTTGATTGTGAGCGAGCTGGTTTCCCAGCGCCAACAGAAGCCACGCTACTTTTGCAGTACCCGTTTGAAGGTGAAAGTATGCCCAAGTATTTGCACTTCAGTTTGAAGTCATGTTCATTTGCAAGCTATCTGCAGTTCTGCTGAGTATATCTGCTCACACGGCCATGTACCCCTCTCAGCACACGTACCCTTCCTCAGCTTCCAGCGCAGAGTCCTGCTAATACTATTTTTCAGCTATGTACAGAAAGGGTTAAGAGTCGTGAACGTCATTAGCTGGATGTGTGCTACTAAAATGGAATTGCGCGAAATAAAACGATCTCTGAGCAAACAGAAACGGTGCAGGGTGACAAAAGTGGGTCTGAAGAGGCTGGTGTACTTTTGTAAGCACGCCTGGGAGGGTTTCTGCTCAAAAAAAGCCAACCTCGCCAGATGCTGGGAAGGTTTTGAGGGAATATTTTTTCCATCCACGGTCTTCTGAAGGCTGTTGAGCCGACCGAAAACCGAGCCCCTTAACATTTACTTATGCCCAGCCTTGCATTTATTATGGAGGGGTTTTGTTGGTTTTTCCTTCTTTTTTTTTTTTTTTTTTAAATTTTTTTTTTAGCGAGCAAAGACACGAAATCAAAATCTGTACATTGTAAGCACGCAGGGAGTGATATTTTTTGAATCAACGTATGAACATCAAATAAAATGGCACACATATTCCTGACAGCTTGTAGTAGAAAGATATTTTTATCACTTACCATTTACGAGTTGTACGAGTTGATTGGATGAGGATGTCCAGTTAAGTCATAATATTTTACAACTTTTTTTATCCGTTCTCTTTTTTCTTTGTTTGTTTGGTGTTTTTGGTGGTTTTTTTGTATTCAGTTTGTCAGACTGCGAACATCACACAATATTTTATCAATTAATCAGTTGTTTACAGACACATTTATAAATTAATTGGGTATACATCATTTCCCGGCCCAGTCTCCACCCCACTCCGTAGGAAAAAAAAAAAAAAAAAAAAGGAAGGGGGAAAAAAATGGAGGAAAAGAAAGAAAGAATGCCAGGCAGACACACACAAAGACCAGAATATGGTAAAAAAAAGGTACACCAGTCCAAAAAGCTGCTGATAGAGAAAGATCAGGAGACCAACCTGTATCCGTGCTTCAAACATTTGTAGAAAACCAAAGGAACCGCAGTAGTTTACAGAGTTTATTGCATTATACATGCAAACAGAACATGCACAAGAAGGACAATTTGCTGCTGAACGACTACTATTCCACATATGCACCACAAGGAAATGTCTACAATGGAGAAGAAGGAAATATTCCATTTTACGAAGGACAATCTCTAAGTTCATTTGAGAGGATAGTTACATTATAATGTGCTTCTCTTTCCCCCCGCCCCCACAGTTTCCCCCCACTCTTTTTCTGAAAGTATTGAATGTACTCAAAATGTTATGGCCCGTGTAACAGCCCCACATAAATACCATTTTGTTAGTAAAAACATGAAAAAGTCACATTGCTCGGATGTTCGACAGTTCCAATAAGTTAAGACCAAATGATAATATTCAATAATAGTTACCCTGCATTACGATGAGAACAAAAATAAATTACACGTGCTAGGTTTTATATATACTCATCATAGTAATACATATTCACTTGCAGCGCTAAAAGAAGGACGAAGAGTCACATTCTATCAGAAAACAAAACAAAACAAAACAAAACTGGAAAATGCCGGGTTTTGCCAGAGTCTCTCCTGCCTTTATCAAGTGGTGGTGCTGTGCCCATTCCTCACTGGTGCCCCCCCCCGGGGTTAGGGTTTAAGAGAAGGTCAGATTAGCGGTCAGTTCCCGGATTCGGTTCTCCCTGCTCATCTTCTTGAGCTTCATTCTGCGGTTTTGAAACCAAATCTTGACCTGCCTGTCAGTGAGGTTTACGCTCTTACTGATCTCTAGACGGCGCTCTCGAGTGAGATACATATTGAATAAGAACTCTTTCTCTAATTCCAGTGTTTGGTGTTTAGTATAAGGACACCTCTTCTTTCTGCCACTCTTTGCAGTTAACCAATTGCTTGTTGGAGTATCAGACTTGATTTCCTCTATCAAAATCAAAGAAGAAGAAAAAAAAATCAAAAATACCTCAGACTGTTAGAGTGTACCCTTGGCCATGACCCCTCCTCTGCAGTGTCTGGCAGATATGGTGGATGTGGGCATTAAACACCGCCCGGCTGAGGTGTGGGCTCAGTCAGGGGACCTGCTGCCAGCCTGGGCTCGCCTGTCCCCAGCACGGCACCCTGCCCTGCGGCCACCCCGCTCTCCTGCTCCTGCCAGTAAGGGTATCTCAAGTTTTCGGCCGCCGATTAACATTTCAACAATATTTAACCTGCCATCCGCCCCATGGACACATCCTAACGGGTCTAGCCTCGCCATGGCCGGCTCGGGCTCCCACGACAATTGCCACAGAAATATTCCAATTACAAAATAGCCTCGCACTGTATTTTGAAGCAGCATCCCCACACACATCCGCTGAATCACGCAAGCACACCTATAAACAGATATAGACATTTCCCAGACAAAATGATATACAAGAAATTACGACCCCCTCTCTTGGATTTTTTTTTTTCCCCATTTTCCTTTTGGGTTTTCTTTTCCCCACCAGAAAGAAATCTCCCCCACATGAAGCTAGACCTGTACTACTAAACGTAATTGAGATAAATAAATTCTCAATGCACACGGAGGGTAAAAATTGACCTAGAGGTTGCAAAGTACATTTTGATAGCAGAAAATTTCTCGTTTTGGGATTCTTCAATACACGCCGTTCAAAAGAAAGGCGTTAGTGCACTTTAAAAGGGAAAATAAAATCAGAGTGCCTCACTTTCAGGTTTCAAAAGCATTTCAAAATACTGGTGCACTTTTGGAGACCAACCCAAGGTTATCTAAAGCACCACATTGAAATTTTCCACCCTTGGACCAGGCAGATAGCGGGCTGCTGCTTTCATTGTGCATTTCTTTCCAACTTTACCCAGTCTGGTAGCACCTATTCCTCACCTATTTTAAGAGGATCGTAATTAACTTTAAATGCAATCAAACCGCAGAAAGGCTCAGTGGAAAAAAAAAATTAAAAAAAAAAAGGCGAAATACTACGAGAGAAAAGTTGAGCTGCTCGTATTTTACAACCTCCAGACAAGCTTTTTTTTAGAGGTATGGGGCTGCTTTTGGCTGCTGCAGCGCATTACGGAGCACACGGCTATATTCCCCGCATCACAGAGGCTGTCTGCGTGCACGGGAGAGGCAGATCTCTACGGAAAATCTTTGGACCGTTTTGTGTAGCATTTTTGCCTGCCAAAATCTTCAGAGAGACAGCACCTGCAGCCCGATACTCCTTAGCATTAAATGTGATGGCTGTGATGCTCGTTAGTATATTCGAGCGTGCTTTATGGTGCTGGCGTGTTGGAGTTACACCACGGCACGGCTTAAACTCGGTAATACAGACCTTTACTCTCCTTCTCCTGGACTTCTGGGCTGGACACGGAGCCTTCGGGCAGACAGCTCCGCTCCTCTTGCAACGTGGACTTGGGCTCGGGACTTTCCACTTGAGAGACTTTAGCGGTGCTGTCTTGGTTGTTCGGGTTTTCATTCATTTTCTTTTCCAGCTGAAGTTGAGCAGATATCTGCGGTTTGGAGCTGCCGCGAGGGTTTAACTGTAACATTACAGTTGAACTCGTTTCAGGGCTATTATTGTACTCTTGGGTTTTCCCAGTGGCGTAGGTCTGGCTCAGTCTAAAATATCCTGGGACAGGAACCTCGGGGTTCTCAATGGGGCATGATTCAGACACCAGCCTCTGGTAGGAAGGGACGTCTGCAGAAATGAGTTTGGATCTCTTATCGGAATACATGCAGCAATTGCTTTCTTCTTTAATATTTGTAGTGAAGGAACAAGTGGGGACCTGCTGTGTAACAGGTTGCTCTATTCGACAAGATCTGTTCGGGTCTGTCCAAGTGTCTACTTGAGGTATATAAGGATGTACATTCATACCCATATTTTGGTGATTAACTTCTCTCTTAGCCAGAGACGGAAGGAGTCCACAGGTTTGCATCCCATACGTCCCAATGTCTGTGCTAGGTGGCATATACATGCTGGCGCTGTTGGAGTAGAAACTGTCACTCCTGCACGCACTGATGAGAGAATCTACTAAAAAAGTATTAGCGGCAGGAGAGCTGTTGGGAAAGGACATTTTGGGGCGGAATTTGAGGAAGAGAGATTGTGTCCTTTGTAGGCTGACATCTCTAGGAAAACATTCCCGTGTAATTGCGGATGCCTCCGCGCGACCACATGACAGGCGGGCCAATGGCAGCGCCCGCCGCCCCGCGCGCCGCCGCCCC